TAGATCTTCGACGCTCTTGTCGGTTTTGGCACCGGTCACGACGAAGATGCCGAAAATAATAGTGACCGAAACGAAATGCCGGAAATTGCAAAAATACAGGAAAAACTGGAAGATCATGCAGCAGAGTATGTAATGACTTTTTATGTTTGTTTGTTTGGAAAGGAGTCCTCTCGAGCCCCATTTATCTCCATTTTTGATATTTTGAATTTCCTGGTCGCCTTCATTTCTTATTATATCGATCAACTCAATTCTTATTCATTTCGCACCAAAATGCTTTATGCAAAACGAATCTGAAGTTTGGTGAAAGATAAATCAATCCGCTAACACGCTCAATCATCGTATGGATTTACACTATGTTTTACCTAATAGATGTAACTTTTTCACTTTTCAATACAGAATGGAAGAAATACACAAAACAGTAACGACAATTCTAGATCTKTTACGCTCACAAGAAGAAGCTGCAAAAATTGCCAAAGCTGAAAAAGATGAAAAATCTTCAACAGCAGGAGGCATCCCTGGATTGGACTTCTTAGGCATGAAGCGACCTGCATTCTTTGGAATTATGAAAGCTGACGAGGAAACAAATCAAGATATCAAGATAGATAAATAATTCACATCWTTCCGGTTTTCAAATCTTGGACGGGAATAGAAAATAAATTGTCGCTATTCTTTATCACCATAATTAGGTGTTATGACTTCATATTCAGGAGATCGGAGGTTCTCAAAATAAATATTCAAGTCAGTTAATATAATTCCACATTACTTACAATATTTTGGATTTATGTATCAAGTTAAAACAGTAGTACATAAGTACAAAAGTACATATATATATATATATATATATATATGGTTAAAATCAATACAAATAAATTAAGATCACACCTGACAATCAAAATCAATATACACGAGGCGTCAAATTTTCACAATAAACTATCGTTCATTATTTTTTATGCTAAGGAAACACAAGAACGACTTGATAACAACAAAGCACACAAAGACACWGATCGTTTCTGCCAGCAATCAATATGCACTTAAACAACGAGACCCTCCTTGAGGGAAGCTGCAAGTTTYACTACGCTAAGCTTAGCATCTTTTTTGGTATCTTGGATATGCTCTTTTAAGCCATTCCTAGCTATGGGCCAAYTTTCCATTTCCTTGTCTGTCCTTGTAAGAAATCTCCTTGACCAATCAATGGAATGGGCTCCTTGTACTCCAATARTGCACTGAGACTYAATGGTTGCCATTTCTTYACCTGCGMYTGCTTCTGATTCCGYTCTCCTTGAGAGCTGGCAGGAGCAGAAACAATAGTTCTAAATTTTCTCTGAGATGATTCTTGGCCGTTTTCCGCTGTGTCATTGGACGAGCCGGCTGCGTTATGCCGTTTGCTGAATTCGCCCTTGCAAGTCGCCATTTTCTCGGTAAGGAAGACGATTTTTTCTCTTCCAACAACGACAGATTGGTCCTTTTCTTGCCGTGGGCTTTTGCTAATTTGCTTTTCTTCTGATATACGTGGAAGAGATGGCGGTAATGCAAGAAAAGATACCTATGATCAAATAGGAATTCCGTCAACYAATCATTTATCGTGGGTGATAAATAAAACACTGTCAAAGACAARGTACAGCGCCGCCACTTGAGAACAAAGCATGGTAGGAATTTTTGAAATAAGAGTATTACAACTTAATTCAAAATGAAAACCTTTTCTCAATATCTTGCAGTGAGWTTTGTTACCGTTTCCTTATATTTTCGTGTGTGTATGTGTGTGCACTTCTAATTTTAAAATTTACGTTTGATCGTTTTGAATTGTATACACCCTTTTAATAAGTCCCGAGGTATTACGTTCTCCGCACTTGACGTCAAATTTATTCTTTTGAATTCCTTTTGTATTGTAAAAGTTTCAAAAGAATAAATTTGACGTCAAGTGCGGAGAAAACAATACCATGGGACTTATTAAAAGGGTGTATAATATTCAACAAACTGCRCACTGTATTGCGTAAAATGATCGAATTTTTTTGTGATGTACATGAATAATATAATAAAAAAAAGTTGGTAAAACTAAGGGTCAAATGGAAAAGATTGTTCCTCGGCTACCATTTCCAATCCTTCCAAAGGCTTATTTACATTCGCGATTTTTATTTCCGCGGCTATCGTCAAGCGACCAKTTTCGAGCATGCATGAAAGTTAGCTTCACCTTTGCGGCGATTTTCGATCGTCGCAACAATCGCAGAGCTGTTTACACGTATGTTTGGAATAGCGCAACTGCAAAGTGGCCATTGTCGCACGACAATCGTGCTGCAACAATAACAATTTGAGCGGGCCGTTAGGGCCTATACACAAGCAATTGATAATAGCTGAGCAAAAGTATAAAAATATTGAGAAATCCGCATTGACCAATCTTCTTCCTACCTTGGGGKTTTTGATTTGATTAGGGTCATATCTCGGCGGCCGTACACTCCCTTCTTTAGTATCCACAGATTCCATATTATTGAATAACAGACGTGTCTTGTCTTTGTTCATATGAGCAACACGATACATCARATCCAGGCGATGACGGGCAAGATTGATATCTTTTATCAAGTGACTTTCACTGAGCTTTTCTTCTGGAATCTACAAGTATCAATAGTTTTTTTAGGAATACATGTACATCTCCATTACGCGCACTTTTTATCAACATCACCAGTAAACAGAGCAGACTTAAAGCACCACAAACTTTGCGATAGTTTTGTTTTGAATTGTTTAAAGATGCTTTCTGATTGGTTTAAATTCAAAGATGCCAATATTTTGTAGAGAGAAAATCGCGCAATGCCTCTTTGATGAACGTGGGCCTTTACGAAGTAGACCACGAGTAGGCTAAGTAGGAAGTACTACGTCCTGAATCGACTTAAGGGAATTTGGAGGATTAGAGTGCAAGTCACATAAGCATGAAACAATTCTTAACTATGTAGTGCTAAATAAGATTTAGTTATCAACTAACTATAAGAATTGAGAACAATGCTACAAAGGAATTTAAATAACTGGCATTGTGTTTATGCTTTGTTGAATTCTTAGTTAGTTGATAACTAAATCTTATTTAGCACTACATAGTTAAGAATTGTTTCATGCTTTGTTGAATTCTTAGTTAGTTGATAACTAAATCTTATTTAGCAATACATATTAAGAATTGTTTCATGCTTATGTGATGTGCACTCTACTGTTTGGGATCCCTTTGCATGTTTAGGCGAAGGAAAATTTAGGGAAAAATGCGGGGTGGGCAGCATTGGCAGCATAAGGCACTTTGAGGCGTTTTAAGGTAACTTTCTGGCCCGTAGTATAAATAGCAATGTGTATTTATAGGACTGGTACACTTTATACAACTGTAGTCTGTATGTCACAAATGAAGAATTTCTCTCATTACCTCTTCAGGATTCTTACAGAAACTTCGCTCGATCACTGGAGCATCAGAATGAAGGCACTCTCTTAGGAAGGACCTGTAAGCATTCTTTAAAATGATACATAATAGAAATCAGTATTTTTAATATCATTGAGGGCTGAAACGAGGTGTGCACATATGTACCTTTAAATCTTGTGGGATTTTACCATCTTCGTGCTCTAGCTTCCTGTGAGATTTTCCTCTCAGAGTTCCCCATAACTGATGGGCACCAATTCCTCCTTGAATACAAAATGATATATATGAACAAGGATGCAGTAAATTAAAAACTTTATTTGTAAATTTTTTGGTAATCTCACAATACTGGAAAAAAAAAGAAACAGAAATCGAAAAAAAGAAAGGAGCAGAAAATAAATATGTGTAGTTATAAATAAGACACAGAGAAAGAAAGGGAAATAGRATGGAATGGAGACATGAAATAGAAAAGATAGAGAAAAGTAACCTAGCAAGGAAGAAAGTGTAAAGGAAATAAGATCAAATGTAAGGAATGTTGCAAGAAGCAAAGAAATTTAAGCAAGAAGAAGAAATTTAAACAGTAAGAAATGAAGGCATGTCGTGTTGGGTTGTTCAAAACAAAAGACAACCTCRTTCCAGGGCCTTTTCTCTGTCCACCATTTTTAAAAAAGCGATGGGAACAAGTTTGAACATTAGGGAGAACCATGAATATTACATTCAATATAGAATGAAATGTTTTGATGTGTATACCTGTTYTATATCTTTCTATCAAAGGATCTAAAGATTTCTTTGCACCATCTCGAAATGTTGGCTTYAGAAAGTTCAAAGCTTCAGGTCCTAAAAGAGTGTGGAGTTGTACTTCTACAGACTCATTTATCAAATCACTGAAGTTGTCTGACAACAAGATACTCTCGTCCTCAGCATAAATTTCACTTTCTCCACTGCGGCTTTTACCATCAGTCATCTCAGTTGCCTTGGAAGGTGAGTTTGAGATGATGAGTGGAATCCGAACTGGTTGATGGCTGCTTAAGATACGACTGTGRGATTTCAATGAAGACTTTTCTAGTTTTTCTTGAGCTGCAACAGATTAAATATAGTGAGACTATTACTAAAGAAGCTGTATATGTTTAATAATGTACTATAATATTTCTTAAAAAAATACTGGAACTTCTGATTTGATGTGATTAATATATTAATATTAAGTGCCGAAACGTTCATTAAAAAGTAGAAAACCTAGTTACAAGTTGCGTGGCTTTTTCTTCATTTATTCTAATATATTATATTATATGTGCCATACCTACCCAATACATCTTTCACAAAGTTAGTATAGTGTTTTAACTGAGCAAGCTTGGATAGACGATTGGCTTCCTTGACCTTTTGTGAAAAAATGCAATCTTAGATAAAAGTAGTGCATAACTATGTGGAATGGGTCGCAATAAAGGCCCATTTTCACTTGCGATATTTGCAGTGTGATTGTCGCGCGACAATGCAATTGATATATGAATATGTAGATCCTATTAGACACTAGGCAATACAATAATCAAGAATATGTTTAGTTTATGAGCATTTCATTCTGAATTTATTGACAATCATGGTATTTTTTTTGTTGACCAACTATTATAATCTGAAAACTGATTAGATTGCAAACTTCTCATCAACTACATGCAAGCAATAGATTTTATGTGAGAAAAGTTTGATGTCTGACTAGGCCCTGAATATTCCATTGTTCTACTACAAGTACATACCTTATGGTTTCTGTAATCAATCTTTGCCTGGTGCTTTTTCCACAGAATATCTTGCTTTTCAATCAGCTGATGCTGGATAGCAACTCGTTCCTTAAAATACTGATTTTTTAATTCCCTCTCATCTTCTTTCACTTGCAACCAAAKGTCATAGAGTTGCAATAGTCTCTACAGTCAGCAAATCAAAAATGTATATATTCAATTGTTAATAGAGACTTTAATAGGTAATAGGCACATGGTAACAGATGTAGTACATAACATTCAGATACTTTTAAAAGCTGAAATTCTCACCACTTCTTTCTCTTTGGCTGCCCTCAGTTCGGACTCATTCTTTTTCTTGCTGGCTTTTTTTCTGGAATTTACGCTGTGGGTAGCAGAACTGCCAGGCAATCTAAATTGCCAAAATATACTGTCTTGATTCTAGATTTATCCATAATATACTTGAAAAATCAAGGGCATAGAGTGATAGAATAATGATGCAGACAAAGTGAGCTTAATTCTGYGTCTTTTCTGATGACAAAGAAAACTCGCCCACCAAAAATGTCTGTGGCCATATAGTGACATCACAAATGCGATAACCTTTAATAATCACTTCAGCAAATTAATTGTTAATATTGGAATAGTTTGGCATTAACTAAGATTTAATCTGAACATTAGAACCCAAAAGAGCAAAACAGTCGCTTTCAAGCATTGTATTCCATTGGTCGCTTGTTGTCAACAACCATCGTTCATTCCGCCATGTTTGTTTTGGACAATTGACATGCATAACATAAACTATACGAAAATACGACCAAATACACTTTCAAATCATTCTTGAATTGAAAAGAATTATATAATTTGTATTTCTTATCAAGTGAGACRCGTTCAAGTCTCAATAAAAGGTAGAATCGGTGCAAAAATGTTGACTTTCTGAACTATTATAAATAACATTAAGCTTAWTAAGCATGCATGCGGTCTTCGAGTAGTCGTTCTCTTCAAAACATCACTTACCTATTGGCCTTTTTATGATTCAGCTTTTCAWATTCTTCCTCATTGGGATAGCTAAATGCAGGAAGTGACATTTATGTAGTACTTAAAGACAGATTCATCGATAATTTGACAAAATAACTGTAGTTTTTGACGGCATGGCAAGATTGTATTTACATTTGGAGCGAGGMCTCTTTCCCTCGTTGCTATGTATGACGTCACGTACCCTTTGACAAAATGTTTTGAATTGAATCAAAAATGGTTTATTTGCAAAATTAAATGATTTCGGCAATAAAAAAAAAAAAGATAATGAAATGGTTAAACAAGTGTTATTATATTAGAACTATTTCTTTGAAAACCATAGCTTTTTATCTATAAGTGTTGTTTGGGATACCTGTGGAGTGGACTAGAGGAAGGTTCTTTTTTACCTTTTGACCATTAGAGTTGAAAATGTCTCTTCATACAGCTTTTTTGCTACTTAGTTTTTTGTCTTGTTGTCATTTTTCTATGTTATATTGATTAATTATAGTATATTTTCGATGGGTAAAAATATCAAATCTTATGTTTTTAAAAACATTTTATCTAAAAAATCGTACCCTGTTCTTGATTCAAATGGCCCATATCCTTTTGTATCACACAGAGAAATAAATATTTCCTTACAAAAAATGCCAATCTCGTACCCAGAGCCCGCACTTTTGCTCGAGATTGAAAAAATGCAAAAAGAAATTTGCAATACTTGGAGTTCCTGTGTCAATAGTAAAAGYTAAAGCCGCTGTTCTAAAAATCGCAGGCGGAGACGAAAATAAACCAATCAGAGCTCGACAAATATATGGCCGGCATTGGTAATGCTTTCAAGAAACCGGTATTTTCTCTCATTTACGTGAACATTTTCACAAACACTGTAGCGTTTAAAGACAAGAAAACCTTTCCTTTGCATTAGTTTATTCTTATATTATTTAAAGATGAAGCTGTACAGTTTACTAGTCGTTGCAGCTATTTTATATCTAGATTTTATCACTGTAGAGGGAGCTTTGAAAGACAAGGAATGTGAAGGTAGGAAATTTTCCTCACGACAAAAAGTTAGATTTGTTGGATTTCTAACATCAGAAAGCATCGTTAAAACAATTGATATTTTTTTCTGATACTTTTATGAATTCATTAACGTATTTTGAGTGTATATAATYATAACATTGGAGTTCCTATGAGTTTTGAACAACGTAGTGGCATTGGATTACGTGGACATGGTGCATTTAACTTAAGCTTATCATTTTTTTTTTTGAATCAAGCTAGAAGCCATTCTCTGTCTGAAATTCATTTGTAATGCTGAATTTATAGAGATGTTTAATTTTAAATAGACTCGAATGAATTCGTAGTAATCTAGCTACTTAYGTTGTGAAAAATAATTAAGACGTTTGTTGATAACTTTAAGCTTATAAAATCTGATGCAAATCATGTCATCTTGATTATTTAACTTAAATTAATATAAACTTACTATTGATCAAAAAATTGATAAAAATATAATTTTCTTTTTCGAAAGTCTGAAAGGCTTATTATAATACTCAATTTTTTTATCCCAAAACAAAATCAGAACAACAATTTGTACAATTATGTTGGATTTTACAACAAAAGTAGATTTGATAATCCTACCAGTCTCAAAGTCTTAATAGAAGCTGAGATTGAAAGTTATATGATTTATCATACATTGAAGCCATTTTTGAAGTATTGCACTTGTCATTTTTTTTCTTATGATATAGTTTCTTTATATTTTCATTTTGCAGTTTGTATCAAATTCTTGAATAAAGTAAAAGATTCRTTGACATCAGAAGAGGAAGGAGACTACAAAAAGATTGAAACAAAAATGAGGAAAGCTTGTAAGAAAGCAAAATCCAAAGACAATCGATTTGTAAGTTAGCATTCTTGGGGAAAATTTAAGTATTTTAAATATTGAAAAAAATTGTGCATGATTTTGAGTTACATGTGTCCTCTTATACACGCTTACGACATAAACCGGAAGTAACTTAGGGATTAAAAAATATTCTTATTGAATTTACAAGAAGCAAGAAAATGTCCTTTTCCTACTGACAAGGAATTTTTCTTGAATTCAGGTGAAGGGAATCCCTTGATATTTGCCATCTGACCAACTCAAGGGCCCTTAGGCCTCGTTTCCATTCCTTTGTTTTCTATTGTTTTTCAATTCACTTCCGGCTTACGTCGTAAGCGTCTATTGACACAATCTTGATGGCATAAAATGTTGTTCAACTTGATGGCACAATTTTTACCAACAGTCATTGCATGCAACCTGCCTAAGTCATCATTATAACATGGTTGCAACTGCAATTGTAGAGATTCAGAATAATTATTTAAAAGCTCAGGAGCAGTAATGTTGTAGCCTAAGATGTTGCATGCAATTGTTGTTGCCAAAAGCTGTGTCCTCTAATTTGCAAAAAAGAACTCTAGATAGTGTCAGTTTGTTGTTCAATATCCATTGGGTATGATATCCACTCCATAGATTTTGTATGGACTATCTATTGGATAAAGATAAATCTGGCAGAATAATATCTTATTTACCAAGCACGAGGGCCGTACGGGAAGTTATATGGCCAGAAAGCGTAGCACGAGGGCCATAAGTCAGCGGGAAAAAAGAGGTTCCATAACTTCCCGTACGGCTTGAGCAAGCGAGGTTAATAAGATATTTATTATATAGCATTTTCAGGGGAAAATAGTAAAATTAATAGAGAATCGAACATAAAAATATGTTTTTATTCGTACTTTTCTCGTCATTCAAAATAGAAGGAAAAAAGAAAAGCCTGAGAAGCCTTGATGGCAAAATTTGAATTCATTTTTGACTCTGTGTTATACAGTACTACCACTACAAAAAGAAAGAAAGCGAGATTTTGTATGATAAAAAAAGTTTTTCCCGTTTCATCTGGTCCGTACGGGAAAGTACGGCCYGCTTTTTAGCCAATGAAATCGTGTGTTACATCCTAGCTATATAATAAAGCATGGTATTCCCCTGTGGTGCAACTTACCCCTGGTATCTTTGATGCAACATACCTTAGATTTCAAATCAAATAGTTGGTTGTACGTTGGTTTTTCATGAATAATGTTATACAATACCTCAACCTTTCTTAACTTACTTATCATTAAGAACAAATGTGAAAGATTAAAAAGTATCTTTCAATATTATGATATTGAGACACTTGTCAATACTCAAATACTTAAATGATAGTTTTAATTGTTTACAGTGTTACTACATTGGTGGAACTGAAGATGCTGCTACAGGGATGTTGAACGAGGTCACTAAGCCTATGTCATACTCCAAGCCTGTTGAGAAGATTTGTGAAGCTCTTAAGTCAAAAGATGCTCAGATCTGTGAGCTACAATATGGTGAGTAACTATACATATGGCATGGGTCAGTATTTTGTGCTGTAGACAGAGAGACAGMAAGGGAAAGKGAGGGAAGGGGGTSCTAACCCCAGGGTCCGTGCAGGTCCTTAAATCCTTGAAAAGTGCTTGAATTGAAAACTCGTTTTCAAGGGCACWTKAAACTCCTTGAAAATTTGAAAATTTCGAAAAAGTCCTTGAAAACYCCTTAAAAAAGATGGATCTCTATCACGAAGYGCTAGCGATCTCTGAATTATTCCGTTCGTCTGAAGTTTTGAGGTAAGAATCTACAATTAGCATGATTTTGATGCTCCTTGAAAATACAATTTTGGTCCTGGAAAWGTCCTTGAAAACTCCTTAAATTTCGTTTTTGATACTCTGCACAGACCCTGTAACCCAACCCTGGAGCTGCTAAGTAAGCTACTTTAAGGCTACCGGCAACAAACCAACAATTGTCCTTTTAAAGCTTGTTATATCTTTTGGAAATGTAAGGAAAATAAATTTTGTCCGTGAAAAAAACAACATAATTTTGACATAACTTGACACTTTTGTTCACTTGGGGGCTGCAGCAAACAGGTTGTTGAAAAAATATATAAAAAGCAATGTTACCTACTTTGGTTTTAACTGCAAAAAGGTCSGTTGCATATTCTTTATTGTAATGTATGCCAATTATTTCTTGTTCCAATCAACAGAACAAAAGATTGATCTGAAGAACACAAATCTTAAAAAATTAAGAGTAAAACAACTGAAGAAGATCCTTAATGATTTTGATGAGACATGTCAAGGCTGCGTTGAAAAGTCTGACTACATCAAGAAGATTGAAGAACTTATGGCCCAACACTCAGAGTTGTAAAGTAGTACATATTTTGAATAATATTAATGAATTCAAGAGAAAATATTCTGCCCAGTTTCTTTCAATTGTTACTTTCCTTTGGTTTTCTCTGTGCTTGTATCACCTATTTAGTGAAATGTGAACATATGAAAGTTTAGCATTAGTTTGTTTTCACTCATCTTCATCTGTGTAATGTTGGGCTTCCTTCAGAGAAAGAAATTGTATGATTATAATAAAGGAATCTCAAAGCACAGAGGAGGGTTGGAATGACTATAAACAGTGCTTTTTGACATCACAAATTCGTTTTTTTCATCATATACATGTAGGGCTGTATTCATTGACAAATCATCATTTTTAGAATTAATGAACTTTTTAAAAGTACTTCTGGGCTGGGTTGTTCAAAGCCAGATATTCGCATTAATCCAAAGGTAACTTATAGGTTTTCTAAGAGTTAACTCCGCATTAGTACCAACCAAGATTTGAACAACCTGGCCCTGATCAAGCTTCAGTTAGTAGCATGTCATAGCTACGTACATTTACTTTAAAAAAATATTAAGTATTTAATACTTACAGTAAGAATTGAGGATTATTTACATTTTATAATTCTGATTCAAGTACAAGACAATTCCTATCTTTAGTTGATGGTCAGATATTATCTGATGGAATAGCTATAGTTAAAAGTCTTTGATATGACAAATATTGTAATAAAAAAAAACAATAAAACTACAAATTTCTTTTTCTTTCATGTTTTTTATTTGCTTTCCAGTTTCCTTAATAAGGCCCGCCTCAAACGACAAATCCCACTTGTAAGAACTCAATGCAAAATCTTTCACTGGTTCGTTTTCTTTAATAGATAATTATTGAGGCACGCAGTATTCGCAGGTATAATGCAGTCAGCTGAGGGCGCAGCCCGAAACTGCCTGCATTATACCGACGAATGCTGTGTGCCGAAGTAATTATCTAGCATAACTACTGATCTTATCAAAATCCAATTGTTTTCTTTCTAGCTTACTTGTTTATCATAGGAGCAATGCCAATAATGAAAGTTTAAACGAACTTCGAACTAGAGTTTTTTTAAGTCGTGAATTTATTTATCTGAACACAGTAACTTAATAAATTGTCACAAAATAGCCTGAGTAGCGGATAACAATCAACAAAAACAACGAAAACATGAAAAATTGTGCCAAATTATAAATTTAAAACCATGTGAGCATGCGTTGCCTTTTCAGTATATGGAACATAAAGTCCCACACGTATGAGAGCTAAAGTTTATCATAAGACTCGATACTAAATCAGATAATCTCTAGATGAGTGCTGGGTCTTTGTATGGACTGATAAGTAGTTTTCTCAAAAAAACTCTTTCCTCCTTTCCGGGAAGCCACTCTGCAATATTTTTAATATTGCTGTCTGTTTCTGGCCAACCTGTTTCTGTCTGCATTCGTTGGGATAATGCAGACTGAAAACATTGGATTTTGATAAGATCAGTAATTATTTTATAGTAAGAGTGATCACACTTAATCCGTGCCACTGTACAAACTAAATAGTTATATTTAGATGTATTTAGTTAATCCTGCATGAGGTACGCAAATTAAATTGAATTGATACAAATAATAATACTAATAATAATAATACTTTATTTCTTAAAAACGCATTTCAAAAACTCAATGCTTTTTGCAAATACTATAAACACATATAAAGAGATAGAAAAAGATAAATAACGATAGATATATATTAAAATACTATATTATATAAATTAAGCCGATAGAACTAGAAATAAAAATATAAAAAGAAAAGAAATTAATTAAAAAGATAAGTTTTCAGTTTTGATTTAAAGATGTCCACATTTTGGGATCGTTTCAGTTCTTCAGGGAGAGAGTTCCATAGTTTGGGACCAGCAATGGCAAAAGCTCTGTCACCAAACGTGATTGTTCGAGAGACAGGTACTTTGTATTGGAACTTGTATGCAGATCGTAGAGTACGAATGGGCTTGTATGACGTACACAAGTCAGAAAGATAGGAAGGAGCTGCGCCCTTAAATATCTTGAACATAAACAGACAGATTTTAAATTGTATCCTTTTCCTAATAGTCAGCCAATGCAGCTCTTTCAGAAGTGGAGTGACATGATCACTCTTCTTGGACTTTGTGACAAGACGTGCAGCAGAATTTTGAATGTGTTGCAGGCGATCGATCACAGCCTTGGGCAAGCCATATAGCAGACTATTACAGGAATCCAAACGGGAACTGACCCAAGCATGGACGAGGCGTTCAGTGGCTGATGAGTCCAAATATCTTCTAATCTTGCCAATGTTATAGAGGGCATATGATGCATTTTTGCAGATGTTCGACACATGATGTTTCATATTCAAGTGCTGATCAAACATGACACCCAGATTCCTAACCTCACTTTTAGGCTTGATAGTAGCATCACCAACAGATAACTCAGAAATTATGCAAGGTTCTTTAACGAAGTTTGAACGTAGGTGTAAAAGATCAGTTTTCGAGTCATTGAGAACAAGCTTATTCTCAACAGTCCAGGCCTTGATGTCGGCAAGGCACTGCTCCAACGGAGTAACCTTGGAAGATGGCTGAGCACCCTTGCTAATGACTACATACAATTGTGAGTCGTCAGCGTAGAACATGCAGTCAATGCCACGAGACAGTATAATATCTTCAATCGGCGAAATGTAGAGAGTGAACAAAAGGGGGCCAAGCACAGATCCTTGAGGCACACCCTTCTTTAAAGCCAACGATGGTGAATTCGAACCATTGACACTGACAAATTGATATCTGCCTTCCAGGTAAGAACGGAACCAGGAGAGAGCCACACCCTTGACACCAAAGCGGTTTTCCAACCGCCAGAGAAGAGTGGAGTGATCAATGGTGTCGAATGCCGAGGAGTAATCCAGCAAGATAAGAAGTACCTCGTCACCACGGTCAAGAGCCATGAGGATGTCATTCTGTACTCGTAGGAGGGCTGTTTCAGTACTAAAGTTCTGCCTATATGCTGACTGCATCGATGAGAACAAGTCATTAGCGTAAAGATATTGCTGTAATTGACAGGAAACTACACGCTCCAAGCACTTCGACAGGTAAGGCAAGTTGGAAATGGGGCGGTAATTCTTGAGATCTTCCTTGTCAAGTGTCTTTTTCTTTAGGCAAGGAGTGACTTTAGCAACTTTAAGCACAGAAGGAACACTTCCTGTTGTCAAGGAAACATTGATAATCTTCGAGATAGGGCCAGCTAGGCCAGAAGAACAACCATTGATTATGCATGCTGGAATGGGATCCAAGGAACAGGACTTGGACGAAGACATTTTCATAATCTTCTCAACAGACTCGGAGGAAACGGGAACAAATTCCAAGAGACACGAAGAACCAGACTTTTCCAGACTTCTGAAGGAAGTAGTACATTCTCCCAGTGACTCCAAAAGATTATCAATCTTAT